CAATACTCGAGTAGTATTAAATGGTCATTAGAATATCTGAATCTCAATATGTATAGTCCTTTCTCATTGCTCCTCATCTTAATACAAATATGCCCAGTTTGTAATTTCCAGTTCCGGTTGCCAGAAATAAATCTTAAAAATTCTAGCAAATAAATTGTCATTTAGTTAAGAGACCTTGATAATTCATACATAAATAGAATAGTTTATTCTAACCTTTTGTTTTTTCTACAACATCACAAGCATTCTTATCAGTTTCTTTATGATTAGTCACACGAACTTCAAATTCTTTTTCTTTATTAGGTCTTTTAAACATTAATTCTTCATTGTCCTCAATAACACCTTGTTTGTCTATTATTTCATCATGTTTTCCATATACTCCTTCATCTTCATCGTGTTCCTCTTTTATTTTGCTATCTTCATCATCGTGTTCCTCTTTTATATCTATAATTTTATCATCTTCAACGTGGTCCTGATCTTCTGACGATTGTTTGTCATATTTGTTCCTCCAAATTTTATAGAACTGATCCTCTTTCTGTTTGCTTTCCAGAGTAATTAAACGGCATTGTCGTATCAACTTGCCATCTAAAATGAAAAATAAAGACCATTTTGAAGTTTAGAAATTAAAATGTTTAATGTGCTCATTTTTGCATGACGAAGTCGTTGTATTTGGACGTTATATAATAATATATTTAAGTCTATCATTGTTTGAGATGATTGAAAGTCAGTAGTACCAATATAAACTATTTACCTCGGACTCGTTTTACAGAGTTTAGGCTTCACTTTCAGGTATTCAAAAGCCCGCCTTTTTTCTTTCTCGGGTTTTCTAAACACTGTCAAAATTCGTCCTCGGTCATTATATATACCTTTAGATGACATATGTCGTATCCCGTGAAGGGGAGTAATAAGCGGACTATGATGAATATATGTTATAGATCGTGTCTATTATATTATATGGAATCGGTCCAGTGGTCTTAGGTGGGCTGTAATGAATTGATTGAGCTTTATCCATCGTATAAAAGATTTTACTAGAAAGCAGGAATAATCTTTTGAATAGGAACCTAATCTCGATATTTGATATAAAACGTATAAACAAATGGGTTCAAGACTTAACTGGTCTCCTTATATCTTCCAAATTAACATGTATTAGGTAGATTATTTTACGCTGAATAAAAATACAACACAATTAAACATCATTAATTCATTTACAATGATGATATTACAAATATATTTACATTATATGTAATCTATTTATTTACAGGTAATATTATAACATATTTAATCATCTACCGTAGACTGGGGTGAAGTTGGCCACTTTTATTAGAAAAAGGAAATGTTTTTAAAAACCCCACTTTTTTGTTCTACTCTGTTTTAATGAAGATTATGATAACCATACTTAACAGCACAATTATTATAAATCTGCTTGTTTCAAACAATTGGAAAAATGTCGAGTGGCCAACTTCACCCTTCAACGGGGTGAGGTTGGCCAGGCATATATTGGTTTATATTTTTTGGTATTGGGGCAGATAATTACAATATATACTAAAACAATGCATTGAGATATACTCTATAATTAATCAGTTTTTAATTCATAATAAATTCAAAGTAGGCTACAGTGTTCATGCAAAAATATATTTCATTCATAACAGATAAAAGTATAAAAAAAAATTAACCATTTAACAATTAACAATTTTGGCGCATATGGAAAATTTCCATTGACTATTGGATATTATATCCATCAAAGGTAACACTAAAACTGTAATGATCTCTCCTACTTATGGTGGGATCTGGTAAAACTCTTACAATATCACCACTAGTGAGAAAATCAGTGTCCTCTTGAACGGGGTGAACAAAAGAATTGTGAATCTTTTTAGATTTTCGCAAAAATGAAATTTCATATAAGAGGGAATCATCATCCTCGTCCATTCTATCATCTGTTATTTTTCCAATATAGTTTATAGTCCGACACTTTGTGGTGTATTTCACAATAACCAATTTTCCAACTTGAACATCAAACTGGTCTATTGTATCATCAGATTCAGTTTCTTCTGAACAGGAGCTGATACTACAACCATTTAGTTTCATCTGTAGATGTTGTTGGTTCGTTTGTTGAAGATGGCTTTTCAACTACCTGGATATCTTCTACAGAAATAATTTTTCCGGGTTCGACATTTACTCTCTTGCGTCTTGTTTGGACCTTGTTTCGATCATCATAACGTAATTTGTCCAGCGAATCAAAGAAAACGTCAGTAAAAATATTTCGGCTATTTGTGCTAAGTGATTCATCAGATTGTAATGGAAGACGTGAAAGCACCTCATTTTTGTTCACTGGGTATATTCCAGTTTTACGGAATCCGTTGATGATGTTTTTCTCATATTTAAGTTATTCTCCACCAAACTGGCATTACAGGGACCACCTTCCATCCAGGTATTCATAAGATGTTTAGATTTGTATAATACATATAAAGGGAGTAAATCTCCACTGGCGGTTGATGCGAACATCAATGAGGTTGATGATTTTGTTGAATTCAAAATTCTTTCTGGATACTTACAGCCACGCCTAAAAATGCATTTCTGTTTTCCCGGGTCATCTGTCAAGTTGGTTTCATCATAATTCAAGACATGTGTTGCTGGTATCCATGTAGTGTTTTATCAAGATAATCAAAGTAAGATGAAATGGCATCTCTAGAGACTTGGGCTCTCTTGGTTTTTATATTTTGACACACCCTGGTTCCTATAACTGATTTGTGTCTTTTTATAAATGAATTTACCCAATCACGACTTTACCCAATCACGATTTTTTAAAAATTTGCTTTCATATCTCCCTGTTCTATCAAGATAAGACTTAACTAGATACCGAAAATCCTGTATAGACAAGGGGAACCCCCATTGACCAACAGTTAATCTCTAAAAATGATTTCTTCTTCATCATCGAAAACTGTCTGCCCACCATGTTTGCGAGTGAACAATCCCGCTAACCTGTTTTGCAGGGTTCCTCTCGATATTCCGAAATCTTGTGATGCCTGCCGATGTGTCTAAAATCCTCTTTCCACAGCTAAAATGGCAGCAGATAAATTTTCTTCAGAATACCTGTGGAATTTTTTTGTATCAGGTTTTGGTGTATACTTCCGCGGCATACGGTGGCTCACATACGACATTTTCCACTTTTTATTTTGAATTAAAAACTGTTTTTTACTTGGTGATAATTCCTGTAATTTTTAATTAAAAACTTTAATTTTCTTTCACCTAGGTGATAATTATTTTCGCCCAGGTGAAAATTAGGTGATAATTCGTGTGAAAATTAAAGTTTTAAATTAAAAATTATCACCTTATTTTCACCTACGTGAAAATAATTATCACCTGGGTGAAAATTAAAGTTTTTAATTCAAAATTACAGGAATTATCACCTAATTTTCACCTAGGTGAAAATAATTATCACCTAGGTGAAATTAAAGTTTTTAATTCAAAATTAAAAGTGAAATATGTCGTATGTGAGCTACCGTAGCGGCAAGATGGTAGTAGGCAGCAGATTTAATATATTTCTGAAAAGGAACAATTTTAAATAAGATATATATTAAAATACAGAATGGGGTGAAGTTGGCCACCCAATTTACGGTGGCCGACTTCACCCCAAAAAGTGACCAACTTCACCCCATGTATATTTTTCTTCAAGAATTGTCTCCCTTTAATTTTAACCAGGAATCCAATGGTTGCCTTAAGTTCACATTTGATTTCTTTGCTCAAATACATAATTGTGAAATATCTGGCTACTTAACGCATCTATGTGCGATGAATTGGAAATAAGTCCGAAATATATGTTGTTTTTCGTGCTTTTTCTAAAATCATTTAAGTTACTTACCTCTGTAAAATAAACTTTGAAATTTGGTGGAAATAAAGCCTATGACAGTATTTGAAAGTTACAAACCCTTGGTTTTGTTAAAAAACTTGATTTAAAGGCAAAATATAATCTGGAAAGAAATTACACGAAATGGCCAACTTCACCCTGTCGGACGACTTCAATATCGATTGATCCTTCAACAAATTTACATATTTTCTACTTAGAAAACGTCATCTACTTCAGAATTAAATTATTCTTCAACTCTTCCACAACTCCACATAATTCTAAATGATCGTCTGGTTCTATCAAAAAATCTTCCCACGATATTTTTATTTTTCTTTCGTTCAACTGAAACTCCCCCCCCCCCCCCCTCGCAGCCCCGAAAGCAAGTTTTTCGGGCAAAAATCTCACAACTATATTAGAAATTTTAGCAATCTCAGATATTTTGCCCCCCTCGGACGTAAACCTGGCTCCGCCACTGTACTAGTCAATACTCGAGTAGTATTAAATGGTCATTGGAATATCTGAATCTCAATTTGTATAGTCCTTTCTCATTGCTCCTCATCTTAATACAAATATGCCCAGTTTGTAATTTCCAGTTCCGGTTGCCAGAAATAAATCTAAAAAATTCTAGCAAATAAATTGTCATTTAGTTAAGAGACCTTGATAATTCATACATAAATAGAATAGTTTATTCTAACCTTTTGTTTTTTCTACAACATCACAAGCATTCTTATCAGTTTCTTTATGATTAGTCACACGAACTTCAAATTCTTTTTCTTTATTAGGTCTTTTAAACATTAATTCTTCATTGTCCTCAATAACACCTTGTTTGTCTATTATTTCATCATGTTTTCCATATACTCCTTCATCTTCATCGTGTTCCTCTTTTATTTTGCTATCTTCATCATCGTGTTCCTCTTTTATATCTATAATTTTATCATCTTCAACGTGGTCCTGATCTTCTGACGATTGTTTGTCATATTTGTTCCTCCAAATTTTATAGAACTGATCCTCTTTCTGTTTGCTTTCCAGAGTAATTAAACGGCATTGTCGTATCAACTTGCCATCTAAAATGAAAAATAAAGACCATTTTGAAGTTTAAAAATTAAAATGTTTAATGTGCTCATTTTTGCATGACGAAGTTGTTGTATTTGGACGTTATATAATAATATATTTAAGTCTATCATTGTTTGAGATGATTGAAAGTCAGAAGTACCAATATAAACTATTTACCGTCAGTAGTTATTACAGTCTGGTGATGTCCCTCCAGAAAAATCACAGGACGTTGGATTACTAGATTAATCAAAACAAGCAAAACACATTATATTAAACTGAGATAAATTTCAAGTTGAGTTTAATATAATTACTATCCAAAAGATATACACAGCTTGTTGTGATTCTTACAGGGTCTGAAATAACACAGTCATAGCAATTTACTTTTCTGTTTTCTTATGAAAACTTAGAAAATATAATAATAATATATTGACTTACCTATATCTGCCATGGTACGCTTAGATTTGATGTACAGACCTCCAGTCATTTTGTTTCTTTCGTAAACTAGTAGTTTGGAAGATATGGTCAGAAAAGCTACACTGTTCATCAAATAAAACCTGATATCGTCTCCTTCTGAACGTGCAGATAGAAAGTCGTCCAAGTTTGTCGCTAACAAACCTTTACAAATCTCTTGAATGTCCTCCTGACCTGAAACAGTACACAGAAACTTGTGAATAATTGCAATAATATATATCTTTATATTTCAGGTTAAAAGGGTTAGGAGATGACATTGAGCTGAATCCTGATGTACACTGACCAATGTACGAGGAATTTCTTAAATCTATTCAAGAGGACACAAATGTAAATTACAAGACATACCAATACCAAAACAACACGGGTTGTAATAGCCGCGGGGAGCACTCTCCCAGTTGAAGTTTTGGTGTTGATATCCTACCGGTCGATCTGAAATTAGATATACAAAAATATTTTTATAAGAGTTACAGTTCAACTTGTACGGAAATATTAACGTTTGATTTTTGATGTATTTTGTTTCTTCAAATTGAAATTACTTACATGTAACACCCTGTGTTCTATAAGAACTGTCCATATATCTTTGAAAATAGTGAAATTGTCGCTGGAAATTAAAGTTCGCCATACTTGACTATCACTATAATTCGTGAATGTTAGCAACGTTATCATGACGTCACATTTCATTTCAGAAAATAATACTTGTATCAGAATGGTCCAGGGGTCGTTCCTCACCAGATCCTTTGTCTTGTTTGGAACAGTATGAAACATTGCAATATCAAAAACGTTGTAAATTTGACTTTAAAAGTTTCTAAACAATTTGCAATTCACCTAACCTATAGGATAAATGGCTGGGTGTTTTAATGATATTTTGAAGTCGCCTCCAGAGGGATTTACCCCGGGAAAGGGTTTTAAATGTCATAAAAACCCATGGAAAAGGGTTTTATCTAACTTAAAACTTGCAAGATGTCATTTGCTGGCTTTTTGTAACAATAACTTATAATGAAATAAGGGGCGCAACTCGTTCCTTCAAGACTCGGTCAACATTGAGCAAGACTTACTATTTGCAAAATATTTAAACTTTGGATGATATTCCATGGGGACTCTCCATTGTTCAATGATACCGGAGGTCTAAGCCATGCGCCAAAACGTATCGACCGAACACAGTTTGCAACTGATAGTGTCCACTGTAGTATCTACTAACTTGTATAGTATAAATTTATGATAAGGTCTTCCTAAGTAAATATAGTATACATTATTATCCTAGGATTTCAAGGGATTTTTAATATAATATCTCTGGATTTTTTCTTTATGAGAGATCCCGCTAGAACAATTTGATGTTCCTTTATTATTGAACATACAAAATAAGTAAGCGATTGGAATTTATTTGTCTATGCCTTTAAAATGTTAATTGAAGGCTTGATTGAAATATTATAGCCTTTTTATACGCCCACATGAAATGGGGGGCGTATATTGCCGTCACCTCATTCCGTCGGTCCGTCCGTCCACAATTGCTCGTAAACACTCTACAAGGCACAATTCTTGACTGATTTCGATGAAACTTGGTATTGTTGATTGCAATCACCTAAGGATAAACCCTATCGAAAATCAGACGAATCGAAAAATATTTACTATGAGTTATTGCCCTTGTTCTTGAAAACGCGTTCAATTTATATTGTAAACACTCTAGAAGGCATAATTCTTGATGGATATTGACGAAACTTGGTGTGAGTGTTTGTAATCACTCAAGGATAAATCCTATCGAAAATCAGAAAAATTTAAAAATATTTAGTATTAGTTATTGCCCTTGTCCTTGAAAACGCGTTTAATTTTTAGTTCGTAAACACAATTCTTGACGGATTTTGACGAAACTTTACGTGAGTGTTGGTTATCATCCATGGATAAACCGTATTGAAAAACAGAAAAATTGAAAACTATTTAGTATGAATTATTGCCCTTGTTCTTGAAAACGCGTTAAAAATTTAGCTTGTAAACACTCTTGAAGGGACAATTCCTGACGGATTTTGACGAAACTTGGCATGAGTGTTTGTTATCACCCAAGGATAAACTCTATTGAAAATCAGAAAAATCAAAAAATATTTAGTATGAGTTATTGCCCTTGCTATTGAAAACGCGTTCAATTTTTAGCACGTAATCACTTTGATGAAACTTGGTGTGAATGTTCGTAATCACCCAAGGATGAACCCTATTGAAAATCAGAAGAGTTGAAAAATATTTAGTATGAGTTATTGCCCTTGTTCTTGAAACCGCTTTCAAATTTAGCTCTTAAACACTAAAAGGCAAGATTCTTTATTTATTTTATTATTCAGTCCTGAAGATTGAATATTTGCCTCCTAGAGTTTTCACGAGCTAAAGATTGAACACCTTTTCAAGAACTAGGGCAAAAACTCATACTCAATATTATTCAGTATGGCCCTAAAGAGTTCAAAAGAAGTGTATGACTGAAGGTTGAATATTGCATACTGGTGATTGTTACTGTGCTGCTAAATATTTATGTTCAAAATCAAAGCTGCCAGTGGGCGTATATTACCTTGCCTGGCAAGCTATCTTATTAATTCGACTTAATAAGTCGAGAAAGAGATTCAAAACGATTGTAAACTATATTCGTGTGTGTTATTTTCATGTGAGAACCATAATATACAGCCATTATGTTGAGACAAATTTTTTTTTTTTTTGTAGAAACAATACCCTCTAGCGGTCTATTACTGCTCAGTCAAAGACAAGCTCCAAAGCTTTTTTTTAAATTTGATCGATTCTTTGAGGAGGTTTCGCTGAAGCAAATATGGGTGCATATTTAAGCATATAGCCGGATGGAATTTTTTACTATTTTTACTATTCCTTCAGTTCTTAGGCTCTGACCAGTCATTGATATCTTACATGGCTGTCTACAGCGATGACCATGATAACATAGTAGACTTGATCATTGCTAATCGAATTCGCCAATCTTAACAATTCTGCTTAATCATTGTGACTCATCGTCAACAAACCGTGAAGTTTATAACTAGGCTGGGTTGTTCTATTTTGATTAAGTATGTAAAAACAGGCCATGTATTCTTCTCATCTATAATAGTACATATAGTTCGCGTGAGTCCGGTGAGGTTGCATGTCTTAAACATAAAACACACTTTATACAGATTAATGGTCAAAATCCAAAGGGTCAACAGTTTGCTGGCGGTAAGTGTGATTTGATACGTGTACTATTATATAGTTGGTAATTTTCAATAGTTCGCTTGTCTTCAACAAAGGTAAATGAAGTTTCATTACTAAAAATGCTGATATAGTGAGAGAGTCGTTCAACATTATTCGTAGTTGTTAATGACACTTCCATTTCATTTTTATATAGAGTATTGTATATATTTACTAGAGATATACTTACCGTGAGATATCAAACGGATCATTTAATTCATATAAAGAATTAGAAATATATTATATATTAACTGAGATGCCAGTTGTGAATTCATATTGTGATAAATATATAAACTGTTTTCTGCATATGAGAATTGGAAAACCAATTGAAAGCATATCTAGCCTACTATGACAAAAACCTCTTAAAGGACGATTGTCCACAAATTTCAGTGGTATAATAAAAACTATTGTTATTCTATAAAATACCTATCAATCAAAAAAGTACTTCAGTTCTACTTTAGGCTATATCTTTGAAATTAAAGGTGTATACCCCTTTATCACTTCATCGCAGTATTACAATATAAAATGACTGTAACTTTGTAAGCAAATTGAGTCTATTTTCATTCATTTACAGATTATAATCAATCGATCTCTTTATCGATCTACATTGCTGTCCAATAGGATTCATTTGAGAACACTACAGACTACCACCAGCATACCAGTGGTCAAAATGACCAGTGCAACTACCGAGAATAATATTAAGAACTCATGGACATCTTCAATAGATCCCAAAGGAGCTTATCAAAGAAAAGAATCAAAATTCAGAAGCGTTATTACAGGTAAGATTGGTATAGTAAAGATCAAATTCCATATCCACATTTGAGCTAATGTTACTTTGATGTTTCCACTATTATGCATTATGCATAAAATGCTCAAATGCTAAAATTACTTTTGTGGTCAATATATAGCCTACGTTTTGAACTATTTCAGGACGAAGTAGTATAGTGATAAAAAAATTAAGGTTCATGCACTGCGCCTTTTCTGCGACAATGGCGATTTTAAACATTTTGCTATGTATTGCAGCCGATGGGTCTTCTGGTTTTAAAGCTGAGGCCAACAGATATCATTTGTATGTTAGTCTGGCATGCCCCTGGGCTCACAGAACCCTTATTGTTAGAAAACTAAAAGGTTTAGAAGATTGTATCTCCGCCACGGTTGTTGATTGGCTCCTTAAAGAAAATGGATGGGCTTTTACTGATAAGGTTAGTAACTAGAATATTTCATGTATTATCATTCAAATTTTATCATCAATTTTTATAGAAAATGGTTAACGTCTAAAATTTTCAATGGTTTCGTTGTTTTTACATACGTCTTCTTTTCTCATAAACTATAAACTTTATATCAAAGAAAACACAACTCCTTTTTACCACAAATTTAGATGACGTCAAATGAGTAGAAAATCTTAAGTATCCTGAAAATTCCTGCTGCCGTTTTGTATCGGCATTGACATGATATTATCATGATTCCCGGGCATTAGATCAAGATCTGTTTCACATGTTTCTTGTTCTTAACTTGACTTAATATTATACACGTTTGGTGTTAGTGTTTCTAGTTTTCTTCAAGGATTAATCTGTAGAATTTTTTCAAGAATTTATTTTTCCGCTTGATAAAGGACATGGTGCCGAGAATTTGTGGTAGAAAGAAGTTGTGTTTTCTTTTTTATAAGAATAATTCCCTACAGCAATAAAAATATAAATTATAAACTTTATATCATGACAAAATGATATCTTATCAACCAAATAACTACCCCCTTTTCTCGCTGGCTATAGTCTTTTCTTAATTTCCTTTTTTACGTGATTTGTTTCTCTTTTGAGAATATAAAAGATGTACAATTTTGTCATTTCAGCTGCATGATATCATTTTTATACGTCATTTCCTGAAGATTCCTTACATAAACGTAAACATCCGAAAACTTTTCAATTAGTTGTCAGACGTGACGTTTGATAGAATATTTTCTTATTTCAGAAACCAAAATGTACATTGGATACAGTTAATGGGTTTGATTATCTAAAGCAAGTGTATATGAAGGCAAATCCAGGTAATACTACTCTGAATTTAAAACGAGTGATATAATATTGGCCGAGAACAAATTGGTTTAATTTACAGGAGACATTTTAGAACACCTAAAATTTACTATCAAACGTCCATATAATATATCATTTAGTCACATCTACTGTTTTTATGAACACAATGTATTATTATAATGAAAGATTGTTGTTTTGGGTTTTTGGGGTTTTTTTGTATCTATATAGTCTTGCTTATATTTAAGAATATGGGGGTAACATAACGGTACCATGTTTATGGGATAAGGAAAAGGGCACAGTTGTTAATAACGAATCGAGTGAAATAATCAGAATGTTCAACTCAGAGTTCAACCAGTTTTGCAAAACGGATGCTCAAAGACAACTTAACTTTTATTCTGAAGAATTGCGCCCAGAAATTGAGAAGTTAAATGAATGGATTTATCCGTGAGTTAACCTTTTCCTTTACGGACCTTTTGTTAGACTGGTACCGCTACCACTCAACTTTCTTCGGTCATCTTTTTCTAATCATAAAGTAAATGGACAAACAAAAATTGGATCGTATGATTGCAGAGAGTTCTTTTTTGAAGTCACTTCAAGCTAAAACCGTCGAAGATTATTGCCAAGCCAAGCGCCACTAATGGAATCTATCATTACAATATTTGAAATTTTTCCAAGAATAATTTTCTTCTTCTGATATATTCTTTCAGACAAATAAATAATGGAGTGTATAGATGTGGATTTGCTAGATCACAAGAAGCCTATAATACTGCAATTGAGGAAGTTTTTAATGCACTCGATAAGGTAACAAGATGTACTTTGCAAGATAACCGATCTATATATTTTGACATTATAGAAATATGTTTTGTAAAAATAAAACGATGAGTCGACTAGTAATAAAGGAGAAAATAAATCACACGATAACGTGTAAGACAGTAGGTAAAAATTCGATACGGTACAATAAGAGTAAATGTAGCTACGTTTCGGGCTAATCCATTTATCAAGCGAAAAAAAAAACAAAAAAATCGAGAAAGGTGCTATCTCTACGGAGAACATCACTAAACTGACAAAAAATGTAACATTCAGACTAGATAAAGTCTTTGAATGGCATTTAACTGTTGTGAGTACGATATATAGACACAGCTTTATGGAATAACAATCACTGGTTGAAGTTTTATGCAACGTTTCGACGTGTTTCCCCCCGAGTCCCCCGAATAGGAAACGCAGTGAGATGAATATTATTCGTTGTCTTGGAACCTTAGGGATGAACAAACAGTTCTCATATTTAAATTAGTTTACCTATCTCTTTTTTCTTTGACCTATATCTTTTGAGTTTATTATCTCCCTTAAAAAAAATATTTTCTTTTATCTTTGCTGAATGTTACATTTTTTGTCAGTTTAGTGTTGTTCTCCGTAGAGATAGCACCTTTCTCGATTTTTTTGTTGTTTTCGCTTGATAAATGGATTAATCCCGAAACGTGGCTACATTTACTCTAGGCCTAATTGTATCGACTGTTTACCTACTGTTTGCACGTTATCGTGTGATTTATTTTTTCCAGAAATATGTTTTACTAAGAGTTTCACGCTGTGCGATCTTTAACTTTAGACAAGTGATCTATTCTGAATTTCAAACTGAGCGATCTTCAGACATGATCTGACAGCGTGAAACTCTGAGTAACAACATCTTGCAAATTCTGTTTAATTTTTCTGTGTCGCTCTACAATTAAGTACTATTTTAACAATGGAAATGTTTTGTTACTGTGACTTGACAATATCTATAAAATACAGTACAATTAATATTGTAGGTGGAAGAGATTTTATCCAAGAAGAGATATCTGACTGGTAAGAGTTTAACAGAAGCAGATATCAGATTATTTACCACTATCATCAGATTTGATTCGGTTTATCATACACATTTTAAGGTAAGTTTCAGTTGTAATATCAGGTTGCAATCAGAATGATAAAATGCTGAAAACTGAATATTTTATAGACAATTTGTACTCCATTCCAGTGAGTTTAATATACATTACTACTGGGGAAATGTTGACTTTGCTGAGAAAACAAATCACAGGTCTCAAAAAAAGAATGGGGCCATGAGGTTGGATGAAATATTTAATAAGCGATTGTTATCACTGTCTAGTCTCTCTCTCTCTCTCTCTCTCAATCAGAACATAATAAACCAAAATATGTTTTTTTTATAAGCAATTGTTATAAATAAAATCATTAAATAATAATAAGTTTGATTGATATAGGTCAGTTGCCTGAAAATGACACTGCTTGAAACGTTAGAGTAACAAGATGTTTCAGGTTTTGTTTTAATATTTATATACCACTCTACAATTGATGTATTGAGCACTACTTAAACAGTGAAAATATTTTGTTCTTGTAAATGAGCTAATTGGATTGTTTAATTTCAGTGTAACAAGAAGAGAATACTAGATTATAAGAATATATTGTATTATATATGTGACCTGTATCAAACTGGTGGTATATCAGAGACAGTTGATATGGAACATATAGTTAAACATTATTATGTCAGCCATAAAACTATTAATCCTTTTGGTATTGTACCAATTGGTCCAGATCTCAACTTTAACCAACCACATGGCAGAGAAAAGATATAGAATGGTTACATTCCTTGGTTTTGTTGCTTGATATGTCCAGTGCCACGTTCTTGTATCTCATAGACATTGAATCTTCAAACTTTCAAAATTAACATGTATTTTGTATGCAAATTGTTGCCATGGTGTTCTATTTTATATAATTTATAATCTCAATAAAACCACATGATAGTTTCTTTCTATTGTAACATATTAATCAAAGTTACTGATTGTTAACTTAATACAACATAAAAAAATAGATGCATATTTATCATGTTTTACTAGTAATAATAATTCATTGATATTGTTATTCTTTCCATGACTTTTTAATAAAAAAAATAACAAGAACTGAAATGAGTTAAATTATACATATTTTCTCTCCAAAATATGAACCAAACAGTATTTCATGTAATACTAAAACCTCAACAGTATCAAACTACAGAATGTTTTCAGAGCTACTAGCTTCAACAGTCTGGGCAAAATTCCAAATTATCTCTCAAAGAATGAAGTCTTTTCAGAGCATCACAATTCATAGCCCAATAATAAGCAACAGTCCTTCAAGTGTAGCATGACTCAAGTCTATGAACTTAAATGATGTAATTTATATATACAATTCTATCCTTCATACTTCATACCATACTCATATAACCTACTTCATGAATTAAACAGACCTTCCTGTGCAGAGCGACTCATTCTGTTTATAAATTCTAATAAATACATTTGTAATCTCATCTCCAGTTTGTTATTTGTAACATAAAATCCTGGTACACCTGCTTTCTCCAGAAGATTTTGTTGTTCCATAGCTTTTTGGTCCAATTCTAAAATAATTTTCATATCTCTCTTTCTTACTTCATCATCATGTCTTTTCTTTATCATCTACAACAAAAATTAAATAGTATTGAATCATTTCAATACCAAAAATGTTTTTGCTTGATTGAAGGGAGGTAACTACAAAAACTTTTCTGAATGTTTACTGACATTATCTGACAAAAGCAAAGACAAGCCTGGAGAAATAGTAAACATTTGCTATGTCAGTGTCACAAATCATGTTAAAAAAATACGGCTTTATTTACTTTCTTATACTGTAAATAAATATTAAATTATAGCCCTTGTATCTCAATTTAAATTACACCTAAACATTTTGCACTACTAAGGGACTTCCATAATAGAATTTTGTGAAGCATGGGAAAATTTACCAACTGTAATTACAGTGCTTCATGTATATAGAATTCACTTTCTCCCATAGAGTTATAAATAGAACATATATAACTCTATGCTTTCACCTCATCTTCACAATATTACAGATAGTCTTTCCATATAAATTTATCATTTATATCAAGAATACTTTTTATGTCAACAGGCCCCTGAGAAAAAACTGAACAAGATTGTGATAATTGTTTTGTAAAATAAATATTTACCTCTAATTCTCTGTCTATTTGAGATTGAACTAATGGTAAATTATGGGGTCTATTTTCACATTCTAGTAATAATTCTTTATGTTTTTTCTGCATAACATGACTCTGAGCTAAAATACATAGAATATACCATATAACTCAACTGAAAGAAAAGAGTCCACTAGACATTACCTACCTCCTAGGACATGCCAGTTATTTTAAATAGTGATTAAGACAATTGAGAAGTTGTAGCTAAATTGAATATTAAAGGCAAGGTATGCTTATGCTTCTGATACCACTTCTCATAATGAAATATTTACTCACTTAGGATTGATATACTTCCGCATGTGAAAAGTTCATTAGCTGCTATCAATGTTTTGCCAATATGTTTTTTGGGGGATTTTGGGTTTTGTTTTGCGGTTAGGAGGCCTAATATACTTGGTTGATTTCAAGATGAAAATCATGAACATAACCGATTCCTCCCGTTTTAAAATAACTGACCTTTGTGTTCACTGACCATTCTGGATCTAGAGCTACACATTGCCTTCTCTTCTAAATGTTGTACTTCCTCCAAACTATGTACAATATCAAAAACTGTACTGTCAATCAGTGAATCAGCTAAACTTGATAGCAAATCATATGGTAATCTCTGCTGAAACTTCCTGAAAAAGAAAAAGGTCAAAAATTTTATTTCAAAAAATACATGTAGGCTAAATACTTATATGAGGACTATTTATCAAACTACTGCTGATAAAAACGAGAACATTAATGCTACCAAAGAAAATGTAGATTTGATTATCCAAGAATGTCCAAAAGTTAAGGAAACAAACATATTTATAATTTTTCTTTGAAACAAAAAAAGGCCCTTCTTTATTCCCAGAAACTACAAAAACCTGAGCAATATCAGCTCTCTTCGCAAAAATTCGTCGACAAATCGAGAGACACATATTACTCAAATAATTTGTTTATTGTTTCAATGAATCTCAACATTAAATTCATGTATATTAATAAGTTTGAAGCTGATTGACACACAACCAACCACAAATTTTTCTTGAAAAAAATCATTGCTTATACCTTATTAAAAAATATTACCTTGGGCTAAGAATGTAACCTTAGGCTTACAGATGAATATTTCACATGAAAATGATAAGATACAATTAATTGACGAGCCATACACAAGAAAGTTTCCTTATCTTGGACTGCAAGTGTAACTATTGTTTAGACTAGGGAGATAGAGGGCTTTTTAATGAAGCTTGTCAGGTTTTTGGCCTTGGTATTTTTAGACACTGTATATTGAAGTGTAGAGTGTAGTAAAAGTCACACTAACGCTGGTAATTCTCTGGCCATATTCTGAAGCTCATTGAGCATTTTGTAATGCTTTTTCTGTCTTTCTTCCTTTTCGGCCTGCTCTTGCCTAATTGAACTCATTTTACCCAGGAAATTTATATTTATCCGTGGTTGTAATATTTCAACGGATGTTGACATTCATGGAGGCTGCCATCTTGTACTTTTAGACCAATGACCAATGACGTCTATAATTTGAGCCAATGAAATGATCCAAATAACGTCTCAGCGGGAAATTCAGAATTACCGGAAGTGTATTTAATCAACTTTGAAAATTTATAATGAAGACTTGAAGAACTGAACTTTTTGAATATTTCTAATAGAGGTGAAATATCATTTCTAGATGCTTTATTATCATTTATAAGAGCTTTCTATCTATAGAGATCAAACTCTATTACACAATGTATATTGTTATTGAATACTAAAATGTTCGTATAGTCTAGCTACAACAAGAGATTTATATTTTTATATGTCTTAGACTGATGTTTCCTCAGATATTCTACAAAATTATTAAAATTGGTTTATTTCGATTTTCTTTATTAATCCTTCACTTTGACCCATATTTCAACCAAATTGGCAACGGCGGCAGAATGCGTCACCTATTTTCGTGTACAATGTTTGATCTATAAATAAGTCTAGAAAAACACGTTGTATGGATACTGGGTGGTATAATTAACTTCTCTTAGTATTTATCTTTAATATCAATTCATTATAACTAGTGACAATTCCTTCAAAGAACCATGCATTTAAAAAAAAAATAGTGACTGACAAAATAAGATACGTAGCGTGATTTATTGCTAAAAGTCACTGAAACAACAAGAATATGGCCCACTTTGTGTTCCATAGAAATTTTCTGCTAACATGGAAATGGATAGTTGATCACATGAGTTCATTCGTTGGACTACATTCTAGCAGACGACACTTGGAATTCCGATTACCGCTTGGGATTATAAGGAAATTCGGCCGATAAAAAATGGTGATGAAATCTGCCATTTTGTATTTGTCAAAGTATACATTAATACATTTTACCTTGCTTGAAACTACTGAATTCATTCAACTAGCTGATATTGTAGAGAAAACCCATGTTTATCAAAAGAAGCTAATTCGTAGGTCGCGCAAGGTCACTCATGTAAATTATTAATCCTTTCCGGAAATCCACGAATAATAGGTTTTCACGAAATTAGGTTACTTGACTGTACTATAGGCCCTGTTTTATGGGGATTTTCCACACTTACATATATGTGTTTTTATAATGTAATATTAAATTACCTTTATGATGACTAAATTAGTGATGGGCATCACAGTAATTTTCTTTTTGTTTGTATCAGGTGACTCTGTGACCGTTGAACTTTTGGCTGCACACGCATAACTTTCAAAATAGCTATTAGAGGCTGGAATACAGGCAGATGTTTCAGTCTACATGACAATGTTAGACCATCAACACTATTTGCAGCTGATATATTCCAATTCACATTTAATTAATTAAATACCATAATTTCCATCAGATCAACGATGATTTGAAATTATTGTTACTGATTTTTTTTTTTTAAGGTGATATTTCAATTACCGGTATATGATTTAAAGGATGTGATTTAACAATCATCTATCTTACAAGATGATATTACAATTTCTTTCAGAAGATCTTTTAATAGGCTATAGGGCCTATGTAAAATGCAGCGAGATATGTCATCAATAATATATTATTACCAGTCACTGAATGTAGTTTAAATATATCTGATAACTGTTTTACTATATGACAACCAACTTGATTTACAGGTATGTGTCGATTTCCTTGTGGGAATTTTGATATAACTTTTTATCAAGTTTACCTCCCCCCCCTTCTCCATTTTTAGGCCCTACTCTTCTTTATAGTCAAGAAATACAAGGCAATCTATGGAATTATTATCAACAAGCCGAATAGTAGATAGGCTAGTAGATATGATGTTATTTCTCACCCAAGACATTGTAAAACCTGTATGTTTCTTTTTTCTGCATTTGTTGATCTTGCACAGCAGTTTTATATAAAATTTTTATACAAAATTGTTCAATTTTATTATCTTTTCATCTTTCTGTCATATTTTGTACTAAATATAATGTTACGCATAAAACTTCTGGTTCATCAGAATATTTAGAAAAATAAAATTACTGAAATTTCTGGCCCATTATTTCCTTTTTTCAAGTTGTACTGTTTCTTAAAGAAGTAATTTACATTTGTTATACATTTAAAAGTTGACAAAAGAAAAATGATAATTTGTAAGTGAAGATCTTTTGAAATAACCAAAATTAAGATTGATCTAGATGTTGCTGCTACTTTATGTTTATTGTTTATTCTGATTACAGATAAGCTTATTAAAGCTGTGAAAAATGATGACCCCAGAGTCAAAGAGAGTAAAAAGTTTACAGGTTGAAGAAAGACAATATCAGTTGTCACCTGGTCTTAAACTTCTGAATGTAAGTACCTGATTGTTATCTGGACACAGTTTTATGGTACAACAATCAATAGTTACCTGATAGTTATTTAAAGGTTTTACTTCCTCTTGGACCGAACATAAAATTCAAGTTCTCAAACTTGACAGTATTAAGAGTCTATATTCATCAGTGGATTTTCCCAGTGTCAAAACTATGCAACAGTATCTTATGTTGTGATAAATCCATTAAACAAAATTATTATTAAAAAATGTTTTAATATATTAAGCCTTTTTCAATCTTTACCTTATGGATATTTTCTTAGTTTTATAGATTTATCTATCGTCACACCTCTCCGCATTATCATATTGCTAGTTTTTTACGCCAACATAAATATGTGGTCGTATATGGTCGCCCCTGTCCATCGGCCCGTCCGTCAACATTTCTTGTGAGCACTATAGAGACTACAGTTTTCATCTGATTTTGATAAAACTTGGTATGATGCTTTAGATTGATAAGATCTCGGTCAAGTTCGAATTTGACATATTTTCGATGAACGGTTTTTATACGCCCACATGAATATATCGTTTATTGTCGTCAGTCCGTCCGTCAACATTTCTTGTGAGCACTTTAGAGACTACAGTTTTCATCTGATTTTGATAAAACTTGGTGTGATGCTTTAGATTGATACGATCTCGCTCAAGTTCGAATTTGACATATTTTCAATGAACGGTTTTTGAGATATTGCCCTTGACTTAGAACGCCTTGAAATTTGTTAAAAATTGTTTGTGAGCAGGATTGAAGCTACAGTTTTCATCCGATTCTGATGAAACTTGGTGTGATGATTGGAATTGATAATATCTCGGACAAGTTCCAACCTTTTCCCCTTTTTCGATGAAAGGTTTTTGAGTTATTGCCCTTGACTTTGTTAAAACGCGTCAAAATTTGTTAAAAATAGTTCGTGATCAGGATTGAAGCTACAGTTTTCAACCGATTCTGATGAAATTTGGTGTGATCATTGGAATTGATCGGACAAGTTCTAACTCTACGCATTTTTGATGAACGATTTTTTAGTTATTACCCTTGACTTTGTTAAAATGTGTCGAAATTTGTTAAAAATAGTTTGTGAGCAGGATTGATGCTACAGTTTTCAACCGATTCTGATGAAACTTGTGATCGTTGGAATTGATAAGATCTAGGACAAGTTCTAACTTGATGCATTTTTGATGAACGGTTTTTGAGTTATTGCCCTTGACTTTGTAAAAACGCGTCAAAATTTGTTCGTGAGCACAATAAAAGCTACAGTTTTCAACCGATTCTGATGAAACTTGGTGTGATCATTGGAATTGATAAGATCTTGGACAAGTTCTAACTTGACGCATTTTTGATGAAAGATTTTTGAGTTATTGCCCTTGACTTTGTTAAAATGTGTCGAAATTTGTTAAAAATAGTTTGTGAGCAGGATTGACGCTATAGTTTTCAACCGATTCTGATGAAACTTGTTGTGATCATTGGAATTGATAAGATCTCGGACAAGTTCTAACTTGATGCATTTTTGATGAACGGTTTTTGAGTTATTGCCCTTGACTTAAAACCAGGCAAAATTTGTTCGTGAGCACAATAGGAGCTACAGTTTTCAACCGATTCTGATGAAACTTGGTGTGATCATTGAAGTTGATAAGATCTCGGACAAGTTCTAACTTGACGAATTTTCGATGAAATGTTTTTGAGTTATTGCCATTAACTTAAGAAAAACGCGTCAAAATTTGTTTGTGAGCATAATAGAAGCTACAGTTCTCAACCGATTTTGATGAAACTTGGTGTGATCATTAGAATTGATAAGATCTCGGACAAGTTCTAACAAGAGATATTTTTGGTGAACATTTTTTGGGTTATTGCCCTTGACTTTGTAAACACGCGTCAAAAGTTGTTTTTTGCCCTTGATTAGAGCTGTGTGATTTAATTGTTTGTTGTATTTGGGTTATTGATATTGATTTTAAAAAATTTGGTGGAATTTTTCAGCATAAATAATTTTTTCAATATGAGAAAATTCGTACTTTAGTCACTAAAGACTGTTTTATTATTTCTGACAGCTGCCAGTGGGCGTACGTTACCTTGCATCGCAAGCTATCTTTATGAAACCTTAAAAATGTGTCTGCTCTTGTTTATTTCGACAAGATATTCTATGAAAGAGGCCTATTGCAATATTTGTTACAGTTACAATACAGTTGTTTGATAAGCACAATTAAGTAATCTATTTTTTATTATAAAACTGTAGATTTAATCACACTGTGCAATATTTAAAGAGTAAGAATGCTCATGTGTGGCCTGTATATACATTTTTGCAACAGGTACACAGATTAGCCTTTGGTGAAGCATTTGAGATTTTGCCATATGACTGAATCGAACCTGTTGATTCTATCTTGAATGCATATTAAATATTCATTTTGAATTTTCTCTTATAGGGAAATCCCATAACACCTGGATCATCTTTGAAAGGTATTAAGGAACTGAAAAGAACACCTCCAAGAAATACGTGTACCCCTTCACCAAATCATGGTAGATGTGACCAACTCCCACATGATGAAAATTTTGACCCTGATGAGGAACTTACTGGTGAACTTTGGTATGTGAACCTGAAAACCCCAATGGAAGAACCACAACAAAAACTTAGTTTTGAGCCTGTTGATTTTGCCAAGGTTGTAGATGGCAAGATTCCAAGTGGAAATTCATTGGCTCGATCCCCAGTGAGAATGTCTCAAGAAGAGTTTTGCCCTCGAACTCCTGGAAATACTGATTTTGAAGTTCGGGAAGTTGTAATTGAACCTGGGTCCAGAATACCAAGAACTCCTTTACATTATTCTGGACGACCCAGTGCTGCATGTGACTTGGTGATTCATTATTCTAAAATTAAAGCCAGGGACAGTACAAGCAATAGCAATAAAAAAGAAGAATCCAAATCACCAAAAATCAAGAAACCACGAAAGAGATCTATGTCTTCAAACAGCATTCCAGTAAGTGAGGATGACCATGTAACAGTGACTGGCGAATTTAAAACTAAACCTAAATTATCACGCACTCCTCTCAAACGCCTTTCAATGCAACCCAATGAAAAGCCAGTCCAAGAACTTCAAATTATTGATGAAAATGAACTAGATTGTCATTCAGGTTGTCCAAATCAAATTATTGATAAACATGTGGTTGACAAGTCTCTTCCAATGGCTGAATCCCATGATATCTTTAAGCCTTCAAAAAAACTGGCAAGGTCACCTAATCCACCTACAAAAACTCGTAATCAGAATAGTAACAATAACCATGCCAGTTCTGATAAGGTTGACACTGTGTCTGTCTGTGCTGATCTGCCAGAACATTTAAAATGTGACTCTAAACAAGTGTCTATGAGTACTGATTCAGAGGCTGTACCTTTATGCATTAATGCAACTCCAGAAACCAAGCTGCGTGGTAAGACTGCAAAGGTTAGTCAAGTTAATAGCTCATCAAAGATTCCTCGACTTTCACCTAAAGGAAATATTCAAAGTGAACCTGACTTAAAAACCAATACTCAAAGTATTGTACAAACTGATAGCCTTGACCAAATGAATATTGAACATTGTGATAGTGATAAGTCACATAAACTGTTGAATGAGAAAAATCAAGAAAAATTAAATTTAAATCTGAAGTCTTCTGAACCAAAGGGTCTTAATGTTGATGTATCAAATGATGAAACAATGAGACCATTATTATCGCCAGCAATCAAGGTTCGTAAACCAGTTAAAAATATGATACCAAAGGGAAAATCCCTGATGAGGACTCCACCTAGTGGTAAATATCCTAGAGATGAAGGTGAAGGCACATCCATTGCTCCCAGTGTCTCCCCTGTGGAAGAGGATATTGTAGTACCTGAAGACCCTGATGCAATATTTTTGGCTCAACTTCGTAACAATGACCCTTTACCTAACAAGAAAAAGAAACCATTTTTAAAATCTAATAAATCCAAAATAGTGAATAATAAACTTAAGAAGCCAGCGGTAATGAATACCAACGCAATAGACTGTAAATCACCTGCAGAAACAAAACTTTTGAATAAGACTGAAACGGAACTACATAAAAAAGATAATAAGTTGACCTATGTGGTGTCTAAATCTGTTAGGACAGAAAAGGACAATATGATATCAATAAGCATCAACAAATTTCAAAAATGTGAACCTGCTACATCAAATGTTAGTAGTAATACTCTTGCCAAACCAGCTGCAAATAATTCTAGAAAGTTAACATATGTTGTTCAGCCTAAACCTATTTCCAAAGAATGTGATGAATCCATTCAAGAAAGTGACAATTCCTTATTGTGCTTGGATGAATTATGTGATAAATCCTTGAATCTTTGTGATAGCCTTTTTAATGAAGCATTTGAAAGGAAAAACTCTGCAAACACAAACTCAAAATCAACTGCTGTTCCTTCATTTGATTCTATGATTTGTCCTTCCAGTCCCCAAAACGATTTTTTCCCAGTGGAAAATATTTTATTAGGTGATACGCCATCACAGAGTGTTCCTAAGTCTAAAGCTGTTTTAAATGAAACAATCGAAATAGAAGCAAAATCAGAGAGTGATGAAGAATTTGTTGATGCATCTGAAGACTTTGAACTTGATAATCAGGAAAATAGAATTTCAACATCACCTATTAATAGAACATTTGAAGTTTCCACACCATTATCAAAAGCAAACTCGACTTTTGATTTAGAATCAAAACACAATGGAACTTTTGATATTGAAAATGATGATAAAGCAGCAAACCAAACATTTGATGTAGATATGTCTCCAGTACATTATAATGAAGCTCCTATAAAAAATGACACCTTTGACCTTGGTAAACCACTCAATACAACTTTTGACATGGAGGTTGATGATGCTATTCCACAGATTGTTCTAAATTTAACCTATGATGGGAACCTACCAGTAAAGTGTAACAAGGAGACCGAATCTCCAAATCAAACATTAGAAAATACTGCAAGTACAGTAGTTGAAAACATTACTCCTAATAAGACTATTGAAACCTCCTCTGTATGTCAAACTCAAGATGATGTATCTATCCATACTGAATCAGTTTCACAGCAAACAAAAGACAAGAGCTCTGCCAGTTGTAAGTCCAATTCAACCAGTTCAGATGGCAGAGAGTTTTCATCAAATTCATTGAATTCATCAAGTATTGATCATGAATTTTCTGGTCAGGCCCATGGAACTGCTGTAAAGAATGAGGAATCCAATATAGAAATGGAAAGAGTATATCAAGATTCAGAAAATAGCCAGAGTAAAGTAGATAAGGTTGATCATACATATGTTGAGCCTGAAGGTCTTAAAGTAGAAAAACCAAAGAAGGCAGTTAAAGGAGGTAGAAAGGCTAAAGTCAAGGTGGAAACTAGTGTTCTTGAATTGAATTCAGATCAAGATTCATGTCATGAAGATAATGAAGATACTGTACATGCATGTGACCAAGAAGATATTCCAAAGCAGAGATCTTATAAGAAAAGAGGAAAGAAGGATGCTGAGACAGAGCAGTCGGTTCAGCCTTCAGGGGGAGAAGAAGTAAACCATGTGGCACCAGCAAAAAGAAGGGGAAGGAAACCAAAAACAAAAGACCCTGAGCATTCATCCAAACAAGAAGAAACAGAAACAATTCAGAAAATCAAAAGAGGTAGAAAAGCAAAAGTAAAAAACCAAGAAGAGTCATCAGAACAAGAAGAAACAGATTCAATTCAGAAAGCCATGAGGGGTAGACAACCAAAAGCCAAAGACCAAGAACAGTCATCAGAACATAAAGATCCAGAATCAATACTGAGAAATGACACTGAAGAATCAAATGAAGAAATTGGGAAAATCACTACTAGGAGAGGCAGAAAACCTAAAGCCATAGTGTGTACTGAAAAGAATTTGGGAAATGATATTAAGGCATTTCAAGCAGAGATCAACGTCACTGAAGAGGAGACTGGGTGTCCAAAAAAGGCAAGATGTAACAAGCCTGTGGCCAATGATCGTGAAAAACAATATAAAGAGGTTTCAAATCAAGCAGACAATTCGAACCAAACAACAGCAATACAAGAGAAAAAGTCACAGAATTTGCATGTTGAAGCAAATAATTGTTTGAATGAAGATCACAAAGAGGAAGAAATGCCAACTGCAGTTGATCATGAGAAAACAAATGAACAGCCAATTTCTAACAAGCTGGCCCTCAAAGACGAATTCATCAAAAACATAAAACCTATCGAAGTTTCAAGAAGGCATCTACCAAGACGAAATCAAAAGATTATTTCATATGCTGAAAGTCCAAATGTGGAAGTAGGAATTCAACAGGACATTTTAAAGAAGAATAATAACACAGATGTATGTACCAGCAACAATAGTTTACAGAATCAGGGTATGGAAGTAGAGCAAGCATCTGATGCATCCAAAGCAATTGAAGCATCAGATGTAGTCATCAGAAGAAAACCTGCACCAAGATCAAAATTGCTTTCTTTAAGGGCAAGTTTTGGATTTGTAAGAGAGAGTCAAGTTGCCAAAGCTAAAGATGAACTTGTAATTCCCACAGATACTCAGTTAAAGAAAGAAATGAAGGACAAATACGAAGAACCACTTCAAAATGATGAAACGAAAGCAGAACCTGTTTTATCAGAATTGACAGACAAAGTAAGTGACATTTCCATTCATTCACCAACAAAGAAACTAGCTAAACCCAAGAGAATGACAAGACAAACCAGTAAATCAAAGATTAAAACCAGCCAGGAGGTAGAAAAATCAGGTGAACGAAAGAAAGATGATGAACCTCAGGAGAAACCTGCCATAAAAACAAGAAGAGCCATGCTAAGAACCAAGAAATTTGCGGGGTCTTATGATGAAGATAAGGTAATCACAAAAGAAAATTGTAAGATTTCTGAAACAAGCTCCGAAAGAGTATCTGAAAAAATGTTAGATGAAAACACCAAAGAGACTGAAGATGTGCAGCCTCAAGCAATTGATACTGCACCACAGTCAAGAAGTATAAAACAACTACCAAGAGGAAGAAAGATTCCAACTTGTATAAGTCCAGAAGCAGTAAAGAGTAATGAATGTCTTCAGTCAGATTCTAATTCAGTTGTAAATGCAGATTTGCCAGAAAATGAACTTAAGGAAAAGGTGTTGATCTATGAATCAGGTACTTGTACAAATGTTGATTTGAAAACTGAGACCAATAGTAAAATAGCTGTCTCTGAAAAGCAAGAAAATGCAAATGGAATTTCAGATGATAAATCAAATGATAATAAGAATATAAATGAGGTTTGTACTGAGCAAATTGTTGAGAAAGGCAAAGTTGTATGTTTTGCTCAAGAATCCAATGGTAGTGAAAACTCTAGAAAAAGTGACGAGGAAGTAAAGAAAGCCAGAAGAAGATCTGGCATTCCAATGGGATTCTTGTCAAAACCTTGCAGCAAACCTCCTGCAAAGGAATCTTTTCCAGGAGAACATTCTAAAAATCAAAATAGTGGAGATCAAAATGTTAATATCAGTAAAGAAAATTCCACCAAATCTGCCTCATCTAAATTGGATTCTATGAGAAAATCTTTTGGCATACCATCTCAATTTCCTGCAAGTGATAAGAGATTATCATTTGTTTGTCCAAAACCTGTCTCTGCTACTGAATCCTCAATGAGTCGATCTAAGTTGGTAAGAAGTCAATCTCACAAAAACCTTCGAAGTTCTGCATCTATTACATCAGACAAAACTTGTTCCGCACCATCCACAAAACCAGGAGAAACCAAAGCTCTGCCTGATTTGAAAAAAGGAGTCACAGCACAAACCTTGAGTAGGTCCACAAAAGCTGCCTATTCATCTATATCTGAGAGATCATCTACTGGTATTGCTGAGGTGAAAACCAAGAAAGCTATGACCAGAACTATCAAATCAAAACCACAAGCCAAACCTGAGGAGACCAAGATTTCTCCTGAACCAACTAGAGTACGAAAGACTAGAGGAACAAAGAAACCAGAAGCTATTCCCCCTACATCCATAGCAAAGGCAGATGAAGAAATCGTTAAGAAGCCAGCAACAAGAATAAAAAAAATACCTTCCCGAAAAAATATAAGAAATGCAAGCACCAGCTCTGTTCCTTCTCCAACTGTGAGTGCCACACATAGTCAAGATTCCAAAGAAACCAATAAAGTGGAACTGTCAAATCCGAGAAAACGACAAAAGTGTGATAAGCAGAATGAGTCTGTGCCTACTAAGTCACTACCACCTACTGATGAATTAAATCAACTGAGTTTTGGTGATGAAGCTCAGCAATCTTTTTGTCAAACTTCTCCAGGACCAGAAGAAATGGAAATCGATCAACCATCATCCAATAAGCCTATTGAAAACAGTGGAGCAAATTTTATTTCTAATCAGAATCAGTATAGGTTTGTTTCCCTTTTTTGTAATTTTATAATGCAATCTCAAATATGTTCAGTGGTCCAGGTATAAGATATTTTTTGCAAATCCAGCTATTATTGAAAACATATACCTTAGGAGTCCACATTGTCTTTGGAGAGTTAATGTTGTTTTCCAGACTACATAGGTTTGTCTTGTCTTGTTTAAAGATTTATTCTGTAAAATTTTGTTTGTCTTTGAGGATGTGTAAGCTTATATAAGTCTTTTATCTGATAGTGCAACAAAACTTTAGATTTTAATGTAATCATTTAGTTGCATGTTTTTGTGCATTGTAGAATAACTAAAAATAAACTGAGCTTTATTCTTAAAATATAATGAATAGCTAAATTAACTCTATTAACTGGTTGAACAAATATTACTAATTAGCACAACTAGATTTTGTGCGGTAAAAGGAAATTATTACAATAAAAAATATAGACAAAATTTGATAAAACCATTAGCAATATAGATAGAAATTATGAATGTTTGTGTTTCAGAGATGTTGAGGAAATTAAAGATGAAGAAGAGAATAAAACTTCAGCTGCAGCTGCCAGTAAAAAAACAAAGAGATTATCTTTTATACCTTCATTTAAAGGTCAGTTCCTATCACTTAACATCAACTAATCTTCAATATGAAGTGAGAAAAATAACTAGTAAATAGTTAAAAATGACATACTGGCCACTATTTAAAGGGATTTTAAACAGGTTTTCTACACTTTTTATGTGTTTCGGGACACTGATAGCATCAATTTGCACCATTCCAATTTTCATTCCGTCTGTGGTTCTTGCAATTCTACTAAAACTAACATGTTTATGATGTCACTAGAGGGGAACTGCATAGATATCAATAGTAGCTTCCGGTAGCTCCCTATAGTGAGTCATAAAAAGCGTTAGTTTTAGTGGAATTGCAAGAACCACAGACGTCGGAATGAAAATTGGAATGGTGCGAATTGAAGCTGTCAGTGTCCCCGATACACATAAAAAATTGAGAAAACCTCCATTAACATTATCATTATATTAGCCTTAGTGTAAGTATACATGATGATACATAAAACATTCCTCTTATGAATTATGAAATGATGACTATAAAATAATGATATATGTTTGTGTTGCAGGTATTACATCTGCTATTAGCTCTAAAATAAACAAAAAGGTGAGTTGGTGATTTTCTTTCCAAGTAATTTGTGTTCACCGCATCTGTGATATTTTTTGGTTGTTACTGCTCTTAAAAGGATTGTAAAGAGGTTTTCTTAAAATAAAATTATGCATATCGGGGACACTGATAGAATCAATTTGCGCCATTCCACTTTTTAATCAGACGTCTGTGGTTCCAGTAATTTCCTTAAAACTAAGTGTCTAAAACTACGTCATTAATCACAAAGGGCCTGTGATAAAGCATTGGCCTTTTTAGCGATTAATGACTTCTTCAAACACCTAGTTTTAGTGGAATTGCAGTAACAACAGAAAATTGGAATGGTGCAAATTAATGCTATCAGTGTCCCTGCTACACATTGAAAATTTAGAAAACCTCTGTACTAAGCAGTAGTAGAGGCTGAAATTAATAACACCCAGAATGAAGAAAAGCCATTCGCCTTTATTCAAAAACATGTAAAGATTTTGAGAATTTTTGTATACCGATCAATTTCTTTTATATAAACAAGCCATGATCTCTTATCATCATGAATATTTGTATCAGAATATGATTTGACTTTTCAGCCAACTGATGTTCAAGAAGCCACCAATAATATGGATAACTTAAAACTCAGTTCACCAGTGAAAGGGAAATTAGTAAGAAAGCCACGACAAGCAAAGGATGGAGCAACTAGTGCAAATCTGGAAGAGGCAGCTCCAAAGAAAAGGTAATCTATTGGCTGCTAAGGTTTCTCTGTTATTAGTTTAGTTCATCTCTGTGAAGCTAGTGGGTTATAGCTGTCAAAGCAAGGTGCAGGAATGAAGGATGTAAGTGATCTTTGTTAAAATTGTTACAATCGTATGAATGAATAAAAAAAAAAATTTGACGTCTGTTATAACTTTAGGAATGGAGATTTATGTCTGATAACCTAATCATACCATCAAAGCTGAGATTAATTTTGCTATTTATGCTATTATGTCTTCAGTTTGAAATTTCTGTATACGAATTTGTATTCAGTAATAAGAAATGAATTAAACAGAGTTAATTTGCGAAACTAAGGTTGTCGCAAATTTGTTTTTGTCTTCATTTTAGGGGGAGAAAGAAGAAGGTTGTAGACGAAGAAAAGGAAAATGAGGTAATTAACCAAAGATGAAAGTGTGATTCTTAGAAATACTAAAATCTGGTTTTTCCTCTTTTAAGATTTTCATTCTACTTGTTCATAGGATTCAGTTGTCAGGTGTTAAGTGAATAATTTCAAGGAAATCAGTAGTTTTCAAAGCTCATAATCGAAATTGAGCCTTCAAATCCATGTGTCCGGAATTACTCACATTTGAAAGCTTCTTTTCTAGAGCTATATGCCAAATATGTATAGACATATGTAGAAAAAATAAGTGAAATTTCTAGTTTGAGATAATTTTAATATTTTTTTGATTTTCATACATTTCTAGTACTTCTGAAGACTATTAACATATATTAGAGAATCTAATCAACCCCCGAAAATGGCACATCTGTCCCTTTATGGCATATGGGTATTTATATTACTCTGTATAGATTGAGCCAATTATTTGCCTCCTTTGAAGCTTAAACAGAAAATCAGTGTCATAATACTACATTACATTTATGCTTACTATTATATCATCACATTCTTCTAGAATATTTAATAGAATATGATGAACCAGTACACCCCAACATTTGTTTTATTATCTTTTTTAGAATGTTACAGATGTTCCAGAAAATATTCAGCTTCCACGGCACCAAACATCAGCAAGATCATTGTTGGCAGAACAAATCCAAAATGTTGAATCTGAACTGGAAATGTTAACAACATCAGAGGAAACTACTAAAAAAACTGAGTCAAAAATTTCCAAACTGGAATCCAAACTTGGGAAATTGAAAATCAAGCAAGAATCATCAAAATCAAAAGTTTGTACACGGTCTTTGAGATCAACCAGATTAAAAGAACAATGAATATTCTGAGATCAGATGTTTTAAATTTAAAGTGTATATTATATTAGTGCTCTTACATCTTCAGATCCATAATTAGTGCTTGTTATTTTTCTCAAAACTTTGTCTTTGCTTGTAAGATCAGAAAGAAAGAAGAAAAGTCTTGTAGAATGAGATTAAATAATATGTACCTTGTGCTTTTCAGTTGGTTAAAATATACTGTGAAATTGATTACTTTGGAACTTTCATGAAATATATATGATAACATTGTTCAAAGATTTGATGTAAGAGTAATGTGATCATCAAAAAGTAATAGTAGATTATACTTTGAAGTAATCGGGCCAAAGTCTGGTTTCATGTGCTTTGATAAATGGTTGTCTTAGGTCATTAGCAACATCAAAGATTAATCAATGCTATAAAAGGGTTTAAAAGAAAGTTCTTTAATCTATGAATTAGTATCAGTGACATGCATAGCAGGTGAAGCAAATCTTACACGAATTTCAAGAACCACAGAGATCAACAGGGAAATGAAGATGCACATATAACCCTTAAATTGTTTACTTGGACATGTACACTTGAAAAAGTCAGAAAACCTCTTTTAAGGTCCAAGATAGCTTGAGTATAACATGTATAATTAGAGGCTTCATGTATGTATATACCTAGCAAGAGCTTGGTTACTCTATATCTTGTTACAATATGTGTTGATAACATATTTTCAGTTTGATATTATTTGTAATTCCATGTTATATTACACTGTGATATGCCTTATGCTTTCAGTTTTATTGTTCTTTACACTGTTCATTTCATAGTAAGAATATTTCATAGTTTATCAATAGGTTCTACAACAATAATGCTAATCCCTGTTATTTAATACTTATGTGAAATTAATGACAAATTTGGTAACTGCATGTATTTTAGTTTTGATGACTTTGTATTAGTCTTAGGCAATTTTGATTATAATAAGTTTTGTGGTACTAATTATTTTGAACTATGGGTTTTATTTTTTTGTATCAAATTTTTGCCTCTGATCATCGATATGAGACGATTTCCACTCTGTTCTATTCTATTTTACTGGAGTCGAATTTTGTCTGTTGATTCCACTAAAAAATAAATGCTGTAGAGATACATAATCTTCTTATTTATAAGACTTAATAAATGTTCTCAATACACATAAAGAGAACAAAAACCCTCTACAGACATGTATGTCGGCATGGACGGCTTACTGCCAATTACATTGATTTGACACCTTTGGGACATATCTATGGTACGATGATACTACAGTGTATATATTGTCTGTTATGATCTGCCCAACCCATAATTTTAGCTATTTTGTAATAAGATATACACTATTAGTTTATATGTAACAGCTTTCATTATAGTAAGAGTTTCATGCTTTTTTGATGTAACTTGGTATATTTCAGTTCAAATCTATTAAACATGAACCTATTGTCAAAATATGTATTGATGTTAGAGATATAAAATAATATTAGTGTTTTATGTGTTTATTGATCAATAATCTTAAATAGCATTTTGAGCTATGATGTCCGAACTGTGGCCGTAGATTGTTTTCTTTTTCCAATAGCTACTTTAAGGGGGCCCAGTTTGATGAGCAATGACAAGCAATTAATCCCATCTTTAAGATAAATTTTCCATATAAAGCAAACAATAACAAATTTATTAAAGTGACAATGCTGTTTGGGAAAAATGATTACTTAACTAATTAAGAATGAAAAGTTTTCGGACTACATACGATGGCAATTAATAACAAGCAATCGATTTGAAATACAAAGTACATAATATAGTAATAACTTTATAGAATTATCGCTATAAATTATTCATTTTAAAGGACACATCACACTTTGAGAAATTGTTCATCAATCCTTCAGCATTACATCAACAAAACCCACTTAAAAATCATCACCAAACTAATCCTGTTATCGGGTAACAACATTGGATAAGGTTTTCAAATTTTTCAAAGATTGCATTTGCTTCACCTTAAGCTATGCAATTAATCTTTTGATAATTGACCAATTGAGAATTCAAATCAAAACGTGTTGGTTTCACACTGTCAAAGGTATAAGAATATGTAAAAGGTTTCGTCAAGTAAAAGTCATTTCATATTATTTTTTCATTGACGTCATTATAACCACAGAATACAATTTTTCCACCTACGAAAAATACCTATTCAAACGTAGGCCTATAGGTAAGCTGGATTTGAGACGCCCACTTCTCTCTCTGTGTACGTATATCATCGCCATACCATTCGTTCATACAGGCTGAATATGTATCATCGCTCGATAGGAAGAAATGATACAGCATATTTTTAATGAGCATATTTTAGGGAAACTCTGCAATCAAGAATATAAATGTTACTTTTTTTCGACTAAATGTATGGAGGACAGTAAATGCCATACATTTCTCATTTTAGAGAATTTTAAGAATCGCAACACTGGTGATGTTTCTCTATCTCTGCTGACCTCACAATAATCAGAGGCGAATGTTTATATATGTAAATTGAAATGAAGACAAACTTTCTTAAAATTTCAATTTCATTACAGTGTAGGCATACTCTGTGTAATCCGACATACATTGCAGGGTCTATATATGCTAAATATGTTTGATTACGTGTGCTAGTTTCAATATCTTAGAGCAGAAGCCACTCTTTAAGATAATACATCAACTAAATATAATATTGATGCAAATTTGTGAGAAAAGAAGATTGATTTTAAGACTTAATCAAAGGAATATGTTTTGATTATCTATATCAAAAGTAAATAATGTTCATGAAGTATTCGATAAATATCGTCTTTAATACTTTAATTTGTTTTCTCATGTTGATTTAATCCGAAATTCTTAACTTCTTAATAATGCCTTACTGCGAAGGGTGGAAATAAAAGTCTTCGATGTTGGAAAAGGTCAAACAGAAAAATTATAATGGTTTAATTTTGATTTGTGAAGCGGTTTGTGTGGGAAATGTGTGCTATCCGTTGGATCTATGTAAAAATCATATTTTAGAAAACTGAAAGTAAAAGGAACTATCGAACAGAATGCCTACACGATTGTGTAGATTTGTAGAAACTTTGAAGATACTTTCATTATTAACAAGATTTGCAACTGGGGACATATCAGCGTATTTTGAAAAATCATGGACCTATGTAGACGTTTGTAATGAACCTGTTCAAGCTACCCTAACATCACACTCTGTAGATTCATGTGCTATTATTTGTTCTCATGATTCCGAGTGTCGTCGATTTTTATTCTGTTCATCAACCTCTTCATGCAAGTTATATATGGACAATGGTGGTTGTCGGATTGCTGAGGGAACTCTTGGATGTTCTTGTTTTCTTAAGGTAATTTTTATACATCTACATGTAATGTGAAGAGTATATTGGCTTCATCCATGTCCGTTCGTCCGTCCACAATTCCTAATGTAGAAGACGAACCTTGGTGTGAGTGAATATTATCAAACGAAAATGAACTCAATTAAATATCAGAAAAAAATATATTTAATGTCAGTTATGGGCCTTGTTCTTGAAAACGTGTTCAATTTTAAGTTTGAATACATTGTAGAACAGTGCTTCCCAAGGGAGAAATTGGAAGACCAAGGGGATGAATTATTGCCAAAGGGTGTTGGGGGGATAAGGAATCATCGGACCGGGGGGAAATTGGATGCAAGATGATCTACGGACATACAGAAAAGGACCCAGGGGTCACATCTCGATATGAATAGTGTGATTTTATGTCCATTCTTGGTTTATCGTTGAATATATTTTACGAGTGAAATGCGTTTCCAAAGGACTGATTTATTTTTGGGAGGAACAGATTTGGAAGGCATATTCTCACTGCGGTGGAGAAGCAATTCCCAAGAAGGCACAATTCTTGATAGATTTCGACGAAACTTGGTGGTGAAATTGTTCATTACACCCATTAATGAAACCTGTTGAAATGGAAAAAAAAACCTCGAAATATGTTAATATTGTTACGACACTGTTCTTGAGCACTCTAAAAAGCACAATTCTTACCAGATTTTGACAATACTTGGTAAAATTGATTGTTATCACGCAAAATAGTGCGCGTATATTACCTTGCCTAGCAAGCTATCTTTTTTCTTTTGTTAATTAATATTGTAACATACATTTTGACCGCATCTCGTCAGTTGGTCTTAGACGGCCTTAGGAAATCTCATAGATGAAATTAAAGCGAAACAATGTTCACAAGCGTGAAGAAGGCTTTAACGAGGGGGAAAACCAATGCAGTATTCAAATAATCTCTGGGCAGTATATACAGCATTTGAACTGGTCGTTAATTAGTGAGTTGTAAATGTTGTGGCGCCATGATGTCCATAATATACCTACCATTTTAAATTTGTTTTAGTACCATCGCGATATCCATGATCCTTTATAACATTCTTGTTCAAAACAAAAATCAGCATTTTCATTAAAGAAAATTTGGTCTCATAATCAACAAAATGGAATAGGTGTACATCTTAACTAGAAATTCATTCATTTGATTTTTTTACAGAAAAATGGCTGTATCAATGGAAGTTGTAAATGTCAGTTAGGTTATTATGGAGATAATTGTCAGCATGTTATAAAAGGTAAATATATATAAGACAGTATATCCATTAAATTAAATAATTATTCAAACACGCTTCTAAGCATTGAGTTGGTTGATTTTAGATTTGAATATGTGTTAATAGTCTCCAGACGAACTAGAAAGGTACGAAAATCGCACAATTCCTTTAAAAATACTTCAAACCAGGAATTTTACTCCAAATTTCTACATATAAAAATACTTCAAACTAGGAATTTTACTCACTATTTCTGTATATGTCTTTTCTGTATATCACAGAATATCTATTAACATTCAAATGCGAATAATTCTGGACACACATGGGTTTGAAAGCTCAAAATTTGAACGGTGAGCTGAGAACACTGTTGGCTTAGCTAACATATTCCCGTTTGTGAGACTGAAGTATGAAAAAAATTGCGCATTTGTCCCTTTAAATATTTCAATTATTTGGTCATCTTAAGAGGTAGTACATCTTTAATGACACTCATAAAGTAATAATACCTCAGAGACTAAAAATATCTGCTGGTCATTTCAGATTGCACGGAAGCTGAGGAACATGGTATCAAATATAACAAACCAGTTGTCCTTTATGTTAAACCACCGGGTGTCACTGAACCGTTTAACATTGTGTGCTACCCTTTAGGTGGTGGCTGGTCTTATTTTCTTCATCGAAATTCACAATGCCAGTTTGAAAATTTCAACCGAAGTTTGATGGAGTATGAAACTGGTTTTGGAACATTTCGCCACAACATGTGGCTTGGTTTTGATAAAATCGTTCCATTGCTGTCAATACCAAACGCTGCGTATTCCTTTAACATTAATTTGTTGAAGGAAGATGGTTCAAGATGCGACACCTATTACAATGGTATTTTATTGAATAAGGTGAAACGTATGTACACTCTGTATTTAGGCCAATACGTTGCTACAAAGCTGCCTTGTGGCAACTCCTTTACTGGAATTTTGTATCTTAATGGAAAGTCTTTCTCCACTGCCGACAGAGATCTAACTGGTGGTAATAACTGTGCAACTACGTTAGGAGGAGGTTGGTGGTTCCAGTCAGATGTCGATGGTCCAGAATGTACCAGAAGTTTTCTGACTGGTACAATGAATGGTACGACTAATGATAATTTCTGGAAAGATGACCTGGACACGACGCGATTCAAAGAAATAATCCTCAGGATACATAGGAGACGTTGAAAAAGAGAACGCCCACCTTCTCAATAGTAAGTGTTGAGGGTATATTATTCTTTAAACTGTATTTGGTAGATATAGGACTTTGTACTGTTTTGTTTGGTTATGGCACGACGAGGTTAACTGTTATAGTTTTACACTAAAGAGATATAGTAAGGTAGATGTATAATATTTTATACTTGGTTGTAACGAGAAAAAATGGTTGTACATTAATTAGCTTAGCTATATTATAGCTATGTAGAATTTCAGATTCTTGGAATATTGCCTGCTTACTGATATTGTTTTTCTGGATTCTCTTGCTGTTATATAACTATAATACATTTGATCTAGTAAGGTATATGGCGTGCGCTTGTTAACGATATATTATATACTTATAGACATTGGCAAATAGATGGTTTCAAGAAAGAGGCATTTGCAAGGATATGATTGCATGCACTTGCTAACAAAAACCGTTTGTATTCCTAATTTATTGCGACATATTGTCCAGAGTTTATTGTTTGTCTTCATAGATTATAATTATCAATATTGTATTATAAATTATTATTAAAACAAAGTAGTAAACGATTATTGGTTCATATAATACAATCGTTTCTAATTAACTAACGCATTGTGTCCGGCACAAAAGCCATAAAATTTTACAGGCCTACCTATCTTGTATTGTATTGTCCACAACACGGAGTTTTATAATTGTTCGTTCTCATCTGAACACGGCCACCTTCTTCTGTGTAGGTATGGAAGTAGCCTGAAACATATTATGGCCTAGCATGTTTTATGGTCTATAGATTCTTGCTATCCGAAAATACTAGCTTTGCTTAAACAGGATATTTTGTGCATTGCAAATGAAATTATGAAGCACATTCATTCATAAAGTACTTGTAATTGGAAATCTATACTCTTTCCATCAATTTATACTGCCATTGCATGTACATCTATGTGTAATTGTATAAACACGATGATAAATTACTGGGGTGAAGAAGAAAGAAATGGATTTTACGCTATTATATTGTTCAGTTTTAACCCTTATTTGTGAATTTATATCATTGATTGTTTCTCTTATCATTGTTTAGTAAAACAGTAAGCCATTAAGCCAGTGAGCTGTATGCGCTGAATCCAATCAAATCGCTGTACTCTGTGTCACAAGAATAGTGGCCATTGCAGTAAAGTATAAGATGAAATTCGTAATTGCTTGATATTCTGTAGATGATGCTAACTATGAAATGAGTTGTTTTATTTAAGACAATATAGAGAGTTTTCTATAGTAATAATATTATTGCTCTTACATTAAAGGGACAGCTTCCCCAATATGTTTTTACCAATTATACTTTAGTCTCAGAAATCGGATTTCTTTTTAGTTTTTTAGTTAAGCCAACCAGTAATAGTGTTCACAGCTCACCGTCGAAATCCGAGCCTTCAAATCCACGTGTGTCCAGAATTCTTCGAGTTTGAATGTTCATAGTCATATTAAGCTGCTAGAAATCCTAGTTTGAAGTATTCTTAAAGCAGTTATGTGATTTTCGTGCATTTCTAGTACATCTCTAGTAGTTCTGAAGACTCGTGCACATATATTCAAGACTCAAATCCCCCCCCACCAAAATGGTAAAAGTAAATTCAGATACACTATTCTCTAGACATCTTTTTCGTAGTCATTTCAGCAAATTTGATTGATATGGTTTTATAATATACTTTATAGTTTTCGTACAAAATCAGTGGCAGAATATAACATTTGACTACAGTTCATCTCATGTTTCGGATAAAAACAATTATCACAAGGAAATACTAGCTTATTTTCAAAGTGGGGCTTGTGGTTTGTATACAAAGAACGCACCACCTGTCGGTAGCCTGACCAAAACTCTGGACAAACAGATATGTCATTGTCTCCGTGCTGTAAAATATTATCGTTGTCGACTAAGTAATTTTACTAAATGTGCTCATACATCTCACGACAAAAGTCTTCCTAAAGTTTTATGACTGTTGGTTAGACATCCTGCAGCACGAATCAACAAGATAGTGCAGCAATAAAGATAGCAATAACTCTGTAGAGAGCAGCACTATATTGCGTAACAATTCACAAAGTTTACCTAAATTGTAATATGTTGCAGAGGACTAGCAGAACTTTCACAGTATATCGTCCTCGCCAACCACAAGGTTAGTACTGCACAAAAAGCCCTGGTTAAAAAAAAAGGATATAAAGCAGTGAATTAAATATTGTACGGAAATAACAATCCAAAGTTTATTACTTCCCTTCATAAAGAATTGCAGAATTGTAGTTGGTTCTACTCGTTAGCCTTGCTCGAATAGAACCCGCTAAATACCAGTTTATTGTGGTGTCGTATTATATAAATATATAGCAGATATTATAAAAAAAAACCGTCCCAAAGTTCGATGGGTATTATCTTTGCTGTTGGTAAACTGATCTCTTTCAAAATTGTCACAGATAGGCATATACTTCAAGATGTCGTTGTCCAACCCTGAAAATATGAAAGTCATCGAATAAAAATTGTACAAGTACTGCCCCGAACAACATAACATATCAAAAAAGTACAATATCAAGGTAACTAACCTTTTTCAACCTGTGTTCAATGTGCCCTCCATCTTCTTCGACCTCAAATCACAACCGTTTTGTAATCCCGAGATGCTGTTACGGATCTCAGGTATCTGCTCCCAAGAAGCGACTCTCCTGTCTTTCAGTTCCTGGTCAGTCAGTTTGTCCCGCTGACCCCAAGTACACCTTTCCCTACGAGAATATTCTTGTGAATAAATTCTGGTGTAGCCTCCTCCAAATATGCTTGTGTAGGACGTAAAACTCCATTCATTTCATTTCATTTCCAAATATGATTCAGATACCTTGGTTGTATGCGATGGGGCCAGTCTTGTTTGTTTCTTGCTTTTTGAAAATGTTAAAGCAAAAATGTCGTTTTTCTTTTGTGACAGAGCCACTAGGTATGTCCATAATTAAAGGTTCCAAGATATTCTGGTAGTGTTTGTAGACTGGTATAGTAATGTAATTATGGTTGTAATGTATTGTATAATGAGGTCTTTTAGAAAATGAAGTGAAAGGTGATTAGACAATAGCTAGAAGATGGAAAATAATTTTCAGTGACCTATTTATACCTAAAAAACTGTAATAGACTTCTACCGATCATTAAATGATCGACTTATCATAATTACGTCGCAAATGGTTGAGTTATTTTAGTTCAAAATCGTCACTAGCCGGTTAATCGAACAGAAACACCCCAATGGCTTTCTGACAATTTTCATTTGCTTTTTAACAGTTTTTGTGTGTTTAATCATTAGTTTCCACTCGTTTGCCAATATTGGCTGGACAGAGAGGTGCTGCTATTGAATTTAACGAATACTGAGAAAATCACGACACACCAGACGATTGTATTATTGGCTACTTATGAAAACATCAAACTTGATCCATTTCTTATAATCATCAATCTATCACTAAATATGATATTACACTACATAATAACCCATACTTCGCCGATTTGATTTTCATTAGTAACATGAAGATAGTTATTTTCCCAGTAGTTGTGTCAAACTATTCTAGAAATATTAAAACAGATCTTGAAATATATTGTTACTCGGAGTAACTTATTCTGTATGTATATGAGCAAATCATAAATTATAATTACACAAAATACAAAGCTTCGAGTGCTAGAGATACGTCGTAATATTGTATGGTCATTTCATTCCAGGAGAATTTTTGATCCGCCTGAATTCAAGAATGACCCACAATTGTGTGGAATTGGACTGTATTTTTAAAAAGTCTCAGAAAAGTCTTCAAACATCTCTTCTGATATTAAATTAACAGTTAAAATCAATATCTCAGAAACTTACTTGACCACGACCAGCGATATATTTCAGATGATTCTATTCCCCTCTTCCACATCTCTATGTCAATGATGAAATGCCAAAGACAATGTCAGTAAAACGATTGGAAAAGGAGTTACACGTAAATTACTACTCAAGCAATCGAACCGCGAACTTTACCTCGAACGCTTGAGATCATATGAAGCAGAAAGTTTCCATTAACCTCAAGAAAGGGGGGTAATCGAATTGTTTTTGAATTTAAGATTTGGCCGTCTGCTCGACTATCAAATTAATTCATTTTTATTGAATAAATGATGGAATAAATATACGAGTCTTTAGCTGATAGAAGTATGCCAGACGAACTGGAAAATTTCCCGCCCGAGTCAATCAATGCCTGGTTAATATACACCGTTAACACGTTCAGATCTTAACAACAGAATTTCACGATTTCAGATTTCATTCTTAAACTGGTCATAAATATATTTTACAGTTTTTATTTTACAATTCGCCTCTTTATCTACATGATAACGACCATATTGTATAGAAGAGTGTGTGTCACAATCCCCTCCAGCTTTCGGCATCCTTTTCAAATTACTGAACAAATGAAAGTTTTACGTCCTACTTTGTGACTAAGGCGGAGAGCTGGTACGGTCTAATATACTATTCAAAATAATGCAACATGAATGAATAAAAGCAGGATATGTATCATGTATGCACTTTGTGTTCATGTAAAGGCCAAAAACTCTGCATCGACGAAGTTATATAGATAATCAAAATCATTCGTTATTAAAAGGTTATAAGTACAAGATATAAAAAACAGATGAACTTTTTAGATATCTTGAACAACGAGTCTATAATGATGTTGTCTGTACTGAAGCGAAACAGAGATAACCCAGTCTGATCGGCTATCTATACTTCAACTACACTGTCCTCTCAGAAGTGGTAAATGATTTCTGAGTAAAATATCAAGATAGCAGAGTTTTACTAATTCAACTTTAATGTTGTGTGATCTGAAGCAAGACAATATCAGAAGAATATATCAAGTGCCCACACACATGCAAGAATTTAAAACCACTACAAGAATTGTTCGTGTTCCTCATCGAAAGTTGAAACTGGAACTTCCTTTTTTCTGAGGTAATGGAAAGCCAATGGGTATATTAAGATAATTTACCTATTCTATTACCATGAGATCTTTTCAGTTTTATTGATAGCTGGGTCGTTTGAAGATCAAAACAAAGTAATAGGAAGATGAAATGTACCACACAATGACTGACCATTCTTCAATTTCGATAGGATTTCCACAGAAAAATCCAGAGCCTATTCTCATAATGTGAAGATTTGTAATATGTTTTGAGATCCTTTTTTCTGAGTCTTCCAATTGCTGTTGAAAAGGCTATATGCTACATACAACCAAGGTTGTCGAGGAATCGTTAGCTTGACAGTTCAGTAACAGACTTCACAGTCTGGTTGGATTCCATCACTTAATCAAATGTACTGAAGTTAAATCACGCTTTAACATTTTATTCCACAGCTACCGCCATTCTCTCATTCTTACTTCCGAGATAAATTCTAATTGATGACGATAATGTCGTGTGATTAGTCGTTAATCTAATAAGAATCGTTTATTCAACAATAAAACCGTTCATGCTTCCTCACAGACACCGATTTGTTTGATATAGTATTATGGTATGGATTGTTCCGTCTAGACGAATTAACTAGCAGTAATCAATGGTGTGTGTTCAATATTGTGGGGTTAGTGGTCATAATTTAAAGGTGGGTACGAATTCCAAACAAAGTCGGTATTAGCAGTATATCAAAAAGCGTCTGGAGATAAAATTCAATTGTTGTCGTTTCTCTTAATAAATAGAAATTTGATTTTATTCAAAAAAAAAAAAAAAACCCAAAAAACTTTATCTAATTTTAGTTATCAGTGATCTAATATCAACTTCAGATGTTATAATGTTAAAAGAGACTTGACTTTGCTGTATTGTAATACATTTCCATCACTTCTTGCGTTTTTTCTAATGGAACAAAAAACAAAAACATGTTGACAATGACAAATCACGTGATGACATAACTACCAATGACATCTAATCTATTTTCAGTAATATTATTACACAAGTTTAACCATAATACATAATACAACGTCAATAAATAAAATATACCATCTCATTCCATGTTAAATCTCATTTCAAACTTTAACTAAACCTGTTTGACACCGATCTGTCAGCTTCCGAGCTAGTTTACATTCTCTGCATCTATATTTCTTAAAATTTGACTGTCAATATTTGGAAACGTTTCCGACTGGACAAATATCTATAATACACAATGAGGTTTGGTATTAGGGGGTGAGAGCCCACACCGGCCGACTCTCGAAAGCACTGGCACAGGCATCAGACTTTTTCTTACCTTTAGGAGGATTCGAACCCACGTCACCTAATCGCCTAGCAGACGACAATCCAACAAGGTACCGACTGAGCTATTCCACTGCCACAAAAAAGACAGTTTCCAACACAGCAGTAAAGGTATTTGAGGGGGTGAGAGCCGACACCGAGCCGACTTTTGTTTGGGTTATCCACTCTGACCTAAAAAGGTGTGTAATTAACACAATCTTCTTAAAGTTTGGGTAAATTTTATTTATACCTATTGATTTATATATTGTTTTAAAACTGTGAATTTGCACATTTTAATTCTGTTTTTTTTTAATTTATAACTTACACAAGAGTCGACAACAATAATTTCACATTAACCCTCTATGAACTGCTGACTTGACATGTTACTTAATCTTTTTAACTCATATATAATTAATTAATAGGTTTTTTTATTAACAATTTTCTCAAATATTGGTATTGCATATTATTTGATATATTTATTTTAAGCTGTGAGAAAGTGCATTATGAATCTGTTCTAATTTTTTTCAGTAAGTTAATTAGAACTCAATCTAGAATACATATAAATATGAAAATGACCTAAAATCAATAATGAATATTTCGAAAAGTTTTAGGTTGACTAAAATAAAGATATTGTTAAAAAGCTTGTGACAAGTATACAGTAAAATAAAATAAAATTAAATGGTGAAAAAGTCCAAATTCGTGTTATATCATCCTCCACTACTAGAAATGTGGTCTGGTAGAAAAAAAACTTTTTTGACA